TTGACGAAACACCACATCAATTATTTAGTTCTCTCTCGGTTATGAACAAGACAAGATTAAATGTTGTTAAGCATGGCAAGAGGTGAAGCATAATTAAACTAACAATTTAGGCAAGTTTAAGTGAGGCCGAAAACAACAAACAACAATTCCGGTAAATCCCCACATGCATTTAGCAATTTAAAGCAACACCAATTTTAAGCATTTTAATTGTTATTATCATGATGCGGATGACATATACAAGTTTTATGCAATTTTATGAAAATGTTGACATGAGCATGTTATGAAGCACTTGGTCACCATGGCGGAACAAAAAGGGTGCCACGGCGGCGAAACAAAAATGGTGCCACGGCAACATATCCGAAAATGATGCCACGGCAACATATCGGTTCCGGTAGCTCACGGAGATACCGGTGCAAAAGGAGGCGTGAGCGTGTCATGCAAGATGGTGGGGTGATCCCGGCTTCCGGGTTCCCACGGGGCGGTGGCACGGCAAAAGAGGGGCATCGCAAGGACGATTCGATCACGGTGCAAAACTCGAGCATCTCATTCAACACATGCAATCGGTCCACAGCGGTCGTTCTCGGCGGTTATACCTTCGAAGCGTGCGTTTTCGGAGCGGTTCGAGTCGTCGAGGGAAGTAGTTGTTCACGGCGACGGTAGAGGTACTCGCGATCTTGGCAACGGTAGTCGTACATGTCCGGAGAGGAACTTGTCGCATCCACGGTATTCGGGCGTAGTAGAAGTAGTCGTTCGGGCTCCCGTAGATGAACTTGACGGGTCCCATGAGTAGTCGTACTCGGCGAATCCACGTAGTTGCATGTATCTTTGTGCTGTAGCCGAACTTGATGAAAACCCACGGTGACGGTAGACGTACACGATCGGCTTGATGGAACTTGGCGGATGGCGACCGTAGTGGTACTTGGGGAAAACTCCCGGAGACGATGCTTGGCGGACCTGAGCATCGGGATCAGGAGCGTGCTCGCTCGGGCATGGAGCTGGTCGCAGTCAACGCGCGAGGCGCGCGTGCAGGCAGATCGAGCAGGCAGCAACGCTGCTCGTCCTCCTCGATCGAGGCCGAGGCGAAACAGGGCAGAGGGGCTTGGCGGATGCACGCAGCAGCATAGTGCTGGCAGAGGCAACGTGGGGGAGCAAGGCGACGAGGACGGCCCGGGGCTCTGGCTGCGGCGGCGCTGGAGTTGAGCAAAACCAGCAAGGCGGATGGGCGCGGCGCTCCTGCTCACGGCGACCGGAGGGGCGACCGGGCATGGATGGCGCCGGTGGAGGGAGGAGGCGGCAAGGGGAACAGGAGAGGGGATCGCGTGAGGAGGGAGGAGCGGGGGCCTGGCGCTGGGTTCGGCAGGGGCGTGGTCGCGGGGGTGCTCGAGAAGGGGAGATGCCATGGAGGAGGAGAGGAAGGGGGCCGGCTGATGCGGGCACCATGAGAGGCGTGCTCGAGAGGAGGGTTCGGGCGCTGCGGGGAGGAAGGGGCGGAGGCGAGGGGATCGGGCGATGCGGCGAGGAGAAGGGCGAGGAGAAGGGCGAGGTGGAGCGGGGGCGCTCGATGCCGGAGGAGGAAGGGCGAGGCCGCGGCGCTCCTCTCTCTCTCTCTGCGACGGCGCAACGAGGGAGGAGGGGATCGAGCGCTGCGTGGGAACAAGGAGGAGGAGGAGGAGATGGATCGAGGGAGAATGCGGGAGGATCGTGGGATCCTCTCCCTAGCGACGTGCGTGTGTGGTGGCGGCGCTGGCAGGGAACGAGGGGATGGACCGAGGGAGAGATGGATCGAGCGAGGGGGTCGGGCTAGGGTTAGAGGCGCAGCAGCTGGGCCTTGGGCTTAGAGGCCGGCTGGGCTACAGGCTGCACTCTCTCTTCTCTCTCTCATTTTCCCATTTAAAATAAAACAGAAAAAGAGAAAGAAAAGAAAGAGAAGGATAGGCAAAGAATTAGCACATGCAAATAATATTCTTGGACTCACAAAAATGCGCTAGTCCCAAGAAAATAGAAGTGAGCAAGATTGCAAGATTAAATTCAAAATCATTTGAATTTAATTCAATAGGTTTGAACTAGGACTAGGTAAAAGGAAGGTCCAAAAATGTTGTGATTTTTGGGGAAGCTCCGGAAAAACAAGAAAGAATAAATGGGCAAGGTTGGAGAACAAGAATTGAGATAACAACGGCATGGAGAATTATTTGCAAGTGTGTTATGGTGATTTCCGAAACAATGGAATATTTTATAATATAGCTCCCTAAATATCGGGAGGGTATGTTATAAAGAGAAGTCACCATGTGAGTTCCCTCGGTTTAAATAGATCAAAAGATCTATGCAATTTATTTAGCTGAGTTGCAAAAGATTTATGAGATGATAGCATGATGACATGATGCAATGCAAAAATAAAAGGGCAGGCATAAATGAAACACACGGCGAAAACTGGAAACCCTGGAAGGCAACTGAAGCTCCGGTCTTGGGGCGTTACAGCCTACTGTTGCAACAATGGGATCGTAGTCCTGATCAAGGCCGGCGAGGATATAGTCGACTATCTCGCCATCAGTCACTGGACGACCGGCGGCTGCAAGCTCATCTCCGAGACTCTTCATCTTGGCGATGAAGGAGTTGCTTGACATATTGCCCTTCTTGGTGTTGGAGATGGCAATTCTCAGGTTTGTTATTCTGGATTGGGATTGAGCAGCAAACAATGTGGTGAGGGCAATCCATAGATCATGAGTACTCTCCTTACCGATGACCTGCGCCAGGATTTCAGGAGTGAGCGAGTTCAACAGGTAGCTCAGAACCTGTTGATCTTTCGCCAGCCACGGTCCATATAGAGGATTTGGCTCAATGGCCGTGGTCTTGTCTGCCTTCGTGACCTCCACCGTTCTTGGCGGCGCGGCATCTGAGCCGTCGAGGAGGCCGGTTACTTGTGCGCCTCGCAGCGCTGGCATTACCTGCGCTTTCCAGAGAAGGAAATTTCCCTTCGTGAGCTTCTCTGTTGGCGGAGCTCCGAGGTTGAGGGCGATGACGCTGGAACCGGCCATGGCGATTGGGTTCTGACGATAGCTGGGAGTTTTTGGGTTTCTGTTTCGAGGGGATCGCTAGACGTGGGAAGAGACTAGGCTCTGTATACCATATTAGATTTGATGGAAGCGTTCCTACTCCCTCGTAAGGGAGCCGCGGCTGTTTATTTATTTGGGGCAAACTTGCCGTGGAGTACAGGAGCAGGATTAGGACTCCTGCTAATACAAGGAAACAAAGAAGGCTACGGGAGAGAGAGATAGAGAGATAGTTTGAGATTACATAACGTATACTATTCAAACTCTAACATGCTCCCCGAAAGGATTAATACCATCCGCACTTAAACCAAACCATGCGTTCCTTGTGTCACCTCCAAACTCCTCCCAGAACTTTTTCTTGATTTTTCTCCACTGCGACCCGTCAGCGGGTGCTCTCAACTTCCCGTCTTTCTTATGGTCATCTCTGTGCCATCGCATCAACTTGGCATGCTCTTTGTTTTTGGACAGGCGTTTCAACCATGGTATTATAGGAGCATACCACATCACCTTGGTAGGAACCCTCTTCCGGGGGCGCTCGTCGTCAACATCACCAGGGTCATCTCGTCTGATCTTATACTGCAATGCACCGCATACCAGGCATGCGTTCAAATCCTCGTATGCACCACGGTACAGGATGCGGTCATTAGTGCATGCATGTATCTTCTGCACCTTCAATTCTAGAGGGCAAACAACCTTCTTTGCTGCATACGTACTGTCGGGCAATTTGTTATCCTTTGGAAACTTCTTCTTCAATATTTTTAGTAGCTTCTCAAATCCTTTGTCAGGCACACCATTCTCTGCCTTCCACTGCAGCAATTCTAGTACGGTACCGAGCTTTGTGTTGCCATCTTCACAATTGGGGTACAAACCTTTTTTGTGATCCTCTAGCATGCGATCGAACTTCACCTTCTCCTTTTCACTTTCGCACTAACTCCTTGCATCAACAATGACCCGGCGGAGATCATCATCGGACACATCGTCTGGTTTCTCTTGATCTTCAACAGTTTCCCCCATTGCAGCATCACCGTATTATAATCGCAACCAAGGTAACAATTGATCCAACGGCATAATGATACCAAGCCTCGGTATGAATGGCATGTTTTCTAATATTTCTAATCTTCAAGCGCATTGCATCCATTTTGATCTTGTGATCATCGATGACATCTGCAACATGCGACTCCAATATCATCTCTCCTCCTTAATTTTTTTTTATTTTTTCCTTCAAGAAATTGTTTTCTTCTTCAACTAAATCTAACCTCTCGACAATAGGGTCAGTTGGAATTTCCGGTTCACATATCTCCTAGATAAATAAAATCTATGTCACGTTGGTCGGCATAATTATCACAAACAATAAATGAACCAAATAGGTATAAAGATAATATATATCACATCCGAATCATAGACAGGACGAGGGACGACGGGGGCGGATACCAAAACCATCACACTAAATAATAAGAAGCAATAATAAAAGTAAGAAAATTATACAAGTATCTATCTAAACATACAAGTAAGAATTATTTTTTTCCTTTCAGAAAGAAGATAAGAACAAGAGGCTCACCACGGTGGTGCCGGCGACGAGATGGGTCCATGGGTCCTGGTTCGTGACTGAACCGGGACTAATGGACTTATCTGGCCCGAATGTAAGTCATGTTTTCTACTAGTGTAGGATACCATGCGGCGTTTTCCAAGTGAAGATTCTGACTTTAGCCAGGCAATCTAGGTCCCAAACTTTTTTCCACGCACTCACACTTTGCGTTGCTCAGATCAAAAAGTGGGAGGACTCCTGGATTTATCTGTTCGTTTGGAAAAAAATCTCAACCTGCAATAACATAGGTGAAGTTTTGGGGGTTTTTTTTCGCGGAGTACCATATATAGCTAGAGTTAACTGCTACGTACGTACGGCTGATCGATCGATCTAGGACTCGGAGCCGACCAAGAGTCCAAAACCTAGCGATGGTGTCAGCGCCGGAAAACACGTCGTCGACGCATAGATCAGCGCTTGTCGGAGGCACGCACCAGTTTCAGATCGTCGGCTACGGCGTGCGCAAGGTCAGCAGCCCCATCAGGTCCGGCGACTTCCATGCGGGCGGCCACACCTGGGCTCTCGCCTGCGAATTCGGTGACCAAGGAGATGGTCACCTCGCGTCCATCACCCTCCAGATGGTCGGCAACAGCAAGGCCAACGTCGTCGCAATGGTCAGCCTCCGCATCGACGACCCGCGCGGCCGGTGGCCGGCTGCCCTGTGGAGGAGCGACGACCCCAACGTCTTCTCCAAGACCGGCAACAGCTGGAAGCTGACGGTGCCAAATTCGTTCCGCGAACATGAGGCGCGCTACGTGGAGAACGACCGCCTCACCATCCTTTGTGCCGTCGACGTCCTCAAGGAGGAGATCGCCACCACCCTCAAGAACAAGGACCGCTCGGTATCCGTTGTGCCGTCGTCGCCCACCGTCTCTCAAGATCTCGCCAAGCTTATGCCGACGGACGCCGAGATGACTCCCGGCTGCGTGCCACCGGACGTGACGTTCGTGGTGGAGCAGAGCGAGATCAAGGCGCACAAGCTCGTGCTCGCCGTGCGGTCGCCGGTCTTGATCGCGGAGTTGGACTTGCACAGCGCCACCACCACCGTGGGGCCGTGCGTCGTCAGGATCGACGACATGAGCGTCTCCACCTTCAAGGCCATGCTCCGCTTCATCTACACCGACGAGATGCCCATCAAACCAAACAGCAACGATATGCCACGGCCGCGGCGCGCCTGCAAAGAGAAGTACGCGTCGAGGCGCCGTGAAACCATGGCGCGCGACCTGCTAGTGGCCGCCGACAGGTACGGCCTGGAGAGGCTGAGGCTCATGTGCGAGAAGATCCTGACTGAGAGCCTCAACGTAGCAACCGTCATGTCGACGTTGCTGCTGGTACGCGGCCGGCACAGCTGCCGGCAGCTCGAGGAATCCTGCATTGAGTATATTGCATCCCATCCAGATGTGTACGCCGCCGTGAAGGGGACGGAGGGGTACCAGAAGCTCAAGGAAAACTCCAGCTCTTCTATAATACTCGAGGTCATGGACAGAGTAGCCATGCATAGCTTGGACCGCAACCGCTCCTCCTCCGACGGCATCAACTGCCCGCGGCCAGCAGACAAGAGCTGTTCCACGTCCACGTATTACGTGTCGGAGGTGGCGTGTGGCGCGCACGAGTTCAAGATCCCAAACTTCAAGGCCGTTCAGAGGAGCCATGGCCTTGGCCAACCAATATATTCTGGCATTTTCAAGGTCGGTGGCCACGACTGGAAGATAAGGTTGTACCCGTCGGGGAATGCCACCGTGGTGGAACAAGACGACGAGTACATCTCCGTCTTCCTCGAGCTGGTGTCTGATCCTCCTCCTGTACAAACCGCCGGCGTGAAGACCGCCATGTGCTTCAAGATCCAAGACCCCAGCCGGCCGTCGTCGCCGTTCAAGGTGGGTCGCAGCTCAACCAACCATACTAGCAACTCTATGGCATTGGGGTACAACACGTTTATCCGCGTGGAAGATGCGAAATCCAAGTACCTGGCAAATGATGGCTCCTTAACCATACGCTGTGAAGTCGATGTCACTAAGGAACCCTACACTGCTAGTCGGACTAGCACCACTCGCGTTGGAGTCACTGTAATCGTGCCGCCCTCCCAAATCTCCACGCAACTCGAGCAGCTGCTCGCAAGCGAGAATGGCTCGGACGTGAGCTTCCTAGTCGAGGCAAACGAGATCCGCGCGCACAGGCTCGTGATCGCCGCGCGGGCACCAGCCTTACACGAAGCGGCGGCGGTGGCCACCAAGAACAAGGAGGAGGATCACGCCGCTGCCGTGGTACGGGTCGACGACATGAAGGCTGCGGTGTTCAAGGCCGTGCTCCATTTTATCTACACCGACGAGCTCCTGCCTGGAGATAGCACCAGGTTGCTTGCTGGGGACATGCTCACGGCGGCGTGCCGGTTTGGGCTGACGAGAATGAAGGCCATGTGTGAGAACTTGCTGTGCGAGTCCTTGACGAAAGATAACGTGTTGGCCACTGTGAAGCTGGCGCGCCATCACCATTGCAAGGGGCTTGAAGATTACTGCATCGAGTTCGTCTCCACCCCGGACGTGGCCAAGGAACTGCTGAAAACTTTCATCGGCTTGCAGGATTAGCTATTATAGTCCCTAGTACCTGTTAAGATCTTATTTTATTTCTTCTCAATTTTTGGTCAGATCAAAAGCATCCTAATGGTCAATTTTGTTGCTGTTTAATCAATCTGATTTCAACACATAACAAATTACATACATGCATCGATCCAACCCAACAGCCTGTAGTATAATTCAGTAGATGCAGAAAAGTGCCAACAGAGGCCGAGCTCCATAGAGCTCTTTATTAGTTTTTCAGCTAAAATAAATTTTCCATACATCAAAAAATCTGGAAAAAGTATATATTTAGACATATATTTGTAGTATACATGTAAAGAAAATCATGAACATATATGTTCATATGTGATGTAAACAAAAAATAAGAAATACATAGATTAAAATGGGCTTTTTCTTTGTTGTTAACGAATTCAGCCGCGACGTCGGAAGCGCTTGCGTGTCGTGAAGGTTCAGCTCTTGCTCTAGACCTCTCACTACAAAGAGTTATCATTTCATGTGACTGCAAATCTGTTGTTTCGGAGATTAAAGGAGGAACTGAACGAAGATACGGACCTATCATCAGGGAGACCAGTGTGAGTGCACATGAGTTTACTACTTCTGATTTTGTGTTTGAAGGTCGAGACATGAACAAAGAGGCACATAACTTAGCTAAACTTTCTAGTTAGAAACAGGGTGCCACTTGTGACCGGGGTTTCCCATTACCCTTTTGTTATTCCTTGTAAACCTAGTTATTGATTAATAAAAGAGGTTTTCCCACTAAAAAAAGTTGATCGAACTTTATACATACTTGAAGAACATGCATATGTATTTATTTCAAAAAATGTCCTTTTTTAAAAACTTCTAAAAATATTTTCAAAAAAAAAGGCTCCATCGAGCCTCTCCTTTGCAACGCCGCTCTCACTAGATGCTTTTTTTTCTTTTAAGACGAGCCCAGTAGATGCCGCCAAACCCTATTTATCGCTCGTTGCAGCTAATTGTCACCAGAACGCACAGGCGAGCGCACCAGCGAGAGCAAGTGGGACGCCCATTTAGGGTACATGGAAGAATTCTAGCCCGTGTTTTAGTACCGGTTTGGGAACCTTCTAGAAGCATTCTAAACTGGTTTTTTTGTTTTCTGATTATTTCTTTATTGAGTTTCTAATTTTTATTTTGGGTTTTTTCTGTTTCTTGTTTTTATTTTACAAACAATAATTTGTAAATGTCCGCAAATTTTTAAAAAGTTTCAAAAGCTTGCAAAAAAATCGTGATTTCAAACAATGTTCAGAATTGGGAAAATGCTCACAATTTTCAAATGGTTTATGATTTCAAAAAAATTAAAAACGTGTTTTTAAAAATTATTCATGAATTCAAAAAATATTTGCATTATAACATGATCAAAAAAATAAAAAATAATGTTTTCAAATACGTCGGCAAATTTCAATAAATGAACGCAAGTATCAAAGAATATTTGTGATATAGGGCTCAACCCTCATCTTTTTTTTTTGTTTGAGACAACTCAACCCTCAGCTGAAGCTGAAGGGAGTGACAACTACATGTAAATACTT